AGGCGGGGGGGGGGTGGTGGGGGAGGTGGTGGTGAGCACTAATTTGTACGGGTGTAGCTACGATGTTGACTAAGTTAACGAAATAAATCTTAATATATTTATGTTGTCGAGGAAAATGACCTTGTGCCCATATCGCAAGTAGGCCTACTATACAGTGCGTCCCAGAAAAAACGAAACCGAGAATTAATCACAATTATAATTAATAAATGACACATATTTGTAAAGCATAGATCCTCCTCTTTCATTTGATGTAACTCATATGATGCATATTTCACGCGCGAGTGATTAAAAACAAATTGAAGAGAGGGTACCAAAAAGTCATTTGGCGGGCGTTATCTGAATTTCAAAGAGAAAATCACATTTCTAGAAAGTTTATTTTCTGCCCTTTCATACGACACCTCAATCAGAAATAACAAAGTTCTGTTTGTTTAAATTAATGCTTGCATTTCCATAATTTGATGAAACGAATTGGTTTTTACTGGTTGCCTGCCATAGCAACGAGCAGACTCGACAAAAGACTTAACTACGTTTCGTTGACAATCAGCCATGCACAAAGAGGTCGAAAGAGCCCCCAGAAGCTTAGGGGTTTTGGGCATTAAATTTCCATCAGATTAGCATCCAGTGGACCGCCTTAGGGCCCTAGATAGGGTCCAGGGGGGGGGGGGGGCAAAGCCACCGGATGTTCAGGGGTCTTGTTATGCCGACATGTTTTGATCGAGTTATGAAATAAAATTATTTGAATTGAATTGAATTGAATGACAATACCCATTCGAAGACTCGAATCATATCACTTCCCCAAAACGACAGAACATAACTTTAGAGTCGATTTGATATTCGCAGAGAAATTTATTTTTAATTTTTAAAGATAACCAGATAGAATGATTAAAACAAAAATATTGGCTGCCATCAAAGCTGAATCACGAGACACACTGAGCTTAAATGTGCTAAATATTACTTTGATATGTATACAAAAATCATACTTTCCGTGCGCGTCTCAAATGTCTGACGGACAATCTGTGCGGAAGACGTCTCGCACCAATAGTCCGCCTGCCGCACCGAATGTCCGTACTCTAGTCCACACGTATACATATTCAATACAAGTATAATTATACTTAATGAATGAAACGACTGGATAACCCATATTCAGCTTTGCCAGCTAGCTAGGGATGACACTACAGGTCTTCCCGGCGCGGATCCAGGGGGTGGGGGGGGGGGGGGCGAGAGGGCCTTGACCCCCAACCGCCAACAAAAAATGAAGAGAAAGAGAGAGAAGGTAAAGCGGAGAGTAAGGGAAAGGAAGAAGAGGAAGAAGAAAAGAAAGGGGAAAAGAAGGTGATCGGGGGCGAAAGGCCTTTGCCTCCCTTGCTGTTGCCTCCCCCGCAAAACAAGAGAGAAGGAAGGAAAGGGAAAGAACCAAAAGAAGAAAAGAAAAGAAGGGATATCAGTTGCAATTTTCATGCACACAAGATGTGGATCGCGGAGAAAGGCCCTTGCCTCTGCCCCCCCCCCCCGACCACCCCCCCCCCTCCCCGCCAAAAAAAAAAGAGAGAAAGAAGGGAAAGGGAAAGAGGAGAGCTAAAATGGAACACAAAAGAGGAAGAAGTAAAGAAAAGGGTAAAAAGAAGTAGAGATCAATTGCAATTAATCCCACCAACATCATATGGATCGGGGGAGGGGGCGAAAGGTCCCTGCCTCCCTCATTAAAGTTAAATGAGAGAGAGAGAGAAGTAAGGGAAGGGAAAGGGGGAAAAAAGAGGAAGAAGAAAGGTAAGGGAGATCAGTTGCAATTTTTCCCGATGTGTACCCCTCCCCCCCCCCCCCTCAGCAAAGAGAGAGAGAGAAAGAAAGGGAAAGAGGAGAGAAAGGGACAGAAAACAAAGAGGAAGAAAAGAAAAGGGGGAAAAGAATTAGGGAAGATCAGTTGCGATTTTCATGGTTCTTCTATCATCATTGTACAACTATCGTACAAATCGAATTGTACAAATGTATTTATATATTCATTTATTTAATCCTGTTTGATAACAAAAATATGAATATAAGCTCATAACAGCAACAAAATTAAATGCAGAAGGAAACTATCACAAAAATGATCATGCGAAGGCTAAATTGTTATGCGCAAATGGTCGTTTTCGTCGACGACATGAATATACAAATTATTTCGTCAACTTAGTTAGCATCATAGCTATATATTTAAACGCAGGTGCGTAGCTAGGATCTTATTTTAGGGAGGGGCGGTATCAGTGGCGGATCCAGGGGGGGGGCCCCCCCCCCCCTTGAGAAAAAAATCATGTAAAATCACGTGATTTTTACCTTTTTGGGGGGTTGGGCCCCCCCCCCCCCTGGCGCTCAAGGGGGGGTGCAAATTGAATTTTTTTTTGAGGATCAAAAAAAAAAAAAATGTGCTCTGTACCCCCCCCCCCCCCCCCCCCCCCACTGAGCGACTTTTCGGCCGGCGCGATTTTCAAATTTTCGGGAGCAAAAAAAAAAAAAAAAGTTGGGCCCCCTCCCCTAAGAAATCCTGGATCCGCGCCTGGGCGGTATTGAGCAAGCGAATCACTTAAATAGCGCGCGTGGGGGAGGGGATGGGTGAAAGGCCTCCCGCGCGAAGCGCGGTAACTTACACGTTTCATTAAATTATTATGAAAAGAAGACGATTTGTTGTACCGTTCTCGACTCTTAATCCTTGTCTGAATTCAGTTTCCCCATCCCACGCGCAGCGCGGAAGCTTAGACGTTTCATTAAGTTATTATAGAAAGAAGACGATTTGTTGTGTACCGTTCTCTACTCTTAACCCTAATTGTCTGAATTCAGTTTCTCCCCCTCTCGCGCGAAGTGCGGGAGCTTCAACGTTTCATTAAATTATTAGAAAAAGAAGACTATTCATTGTACTGACTCTAAATCATTGTCTGAATTTTCAAAAATGTTTCTTTGTCCGATAAAAAGTCACAGCTCGAAGGGGAAAAACTTGCTGGCCGACCGACATAACAAAAATCCCACCGACTTCAAACCCACACCCCCCCCCCCTTTAGCGACGCCCCTGAATGTAGAGTGGCCTGAGCGGGTAGGCACAGGGCTTGGTTCTAAACCTACAGAGACACTTCGATGAAGACATCTTTATTTCATGATTGCGTGTGTTGAACTGCCCTGGACTTTACAACTTTAAACCTCCAGGGTTTATTTTGCATATATAGGTATTTATCAAATATCATAGGTAGCAAATAAAGGAAGACTAAAAGAGGAATGAAATCAAACAGATAGGTGAGGATGATCGAGCATAATGATGTGCACCAATCTATAATGATAATGATAACCGAGCCCGGCCAAAATATGGGGGGGGGGGGGGCTCAATGATATCCGAGCCTCTCACAAAATATCGGGGGGCTCCGTGTTGTTATCCGAGCCCCACACAAATATCGGGGGGCTCCGTGATGTTATCCGAGCCCCACAAAAAACAATTGGGTGATATCTGAGCCCCACAAACATATGGGAGGGGGGGGCTCAAAGATATCTGAGCTCCACCAAAATATGGGGGGGGGGGGGGCGCTCAATGATATCAGAGTCCCGCCAAAATATTTGGGGGTTTCAATGATAATTATCTGAGATCCACCAAATATATTTTTGGGGGTCAATGGTATGCGAGATCCGATGTCTGAGCCCCCCCCCCCCCTCCTCCCCAAATAAATATTTATAAAATGTTTATATTTGAATGGTAAGCCTGTAGATTATAGGTATACATGAGTTTCATGCCTAGAATATAATGATTGGGGAGGAGGGGGGGGGGGAGGGTTTAATGATATCCGAGCCCCGCAATAAGTATCGGGGGCGGCTCAATGATATCTGAGCACCGCTTAAATATTGGGGGCTCAATGGTATCTTAGCCCCTAAGGACTCAATGATATCTAAGCCCCACCGACAAATTGGGGGGCTTAATGATATCTATAAGCCCCGCAAAATATTTTGCGGGGCTCAATGATATCTGAGCCCCCCAAGCCCCCCCCCCCCCCGGTCCCTAAGCCTTTGTACTTGTCAATGAAGTCTACTTTTTGAAACTTAAAGGGATTGGGTAACTTTGTCTCATGCAGGTTCTGAAACAAAATCCTGGAATGATAGTAAGGGCTAGTTCTGACCGGAAAACGACCCAAATATCGGATTATGCATGGCAAGCTGCCCCAGGGCCTTGTCCTATATACGGATCAGGAAAACAATACTTGTCAGGACCTGTGGAACGGCGGGCTTGGGGGCTCAAGCCCCCCCCCCCCCCACACTTTTGAAAAAGTATATTAAAGATAATTAAATAGAAAGAAATAGAAAAGAAAGTATGCTCATGTGACCGTAATTAAATGCCCATACCCCTGAGCTTCCGGGGGCTCTGCCCCCTTGATCCCACCTTGTGCCCTAAGGCTGGCCCCTGGATGCTCATCTGACCGTAATTTAATGCCTAAAACCCCTGCGCTTCCGGGGGCTCCACCCCTTGGACCATACGCCAATTATTGACCTGCTAGTGTCATGAATAAGGTATGAAAATATGCTCATCTGACCGTAATTAAATGCCCCTACACCCTGAGCATCCGCCAATTTGTGCTACGCTCTACCTTATCTTAAATACTCTAGCCTCCCCCACTCACTTTCAACCACATTTTCACTTTTATTTTCCTGGATCACGAGTATATACTAGTAGTGAGTTGGTTGAAGAACGAAGCCACGTACAAAAGTATAATCGATTACAACAGTTTTGGGGCCGATATTCATAGAATAAAGGTTTAAATAAAATAAATATTCACTTCTACTTTCAAAAGGACTGGCCCATTTGCTTTAAAAAAATTGTAGAGAGTTATTATTATGTAATATCTAGAAAAAATGTCTACCACATGATTTACCGAGTTGCTTCCTTTTATCAAATATACACGTAAAACAAAATGAGGACAGACTGTGCGGATAGCAAACCGCACGGATCGTCCCTCGGACGGATCGTCCCTCGGACGATCCGTGTCCGTGCGAGTCACGGACGATCGATGCGAGCAGAAAACCCGCATGTTATGTCCGACGGACAAACGAAACTGGTAGGACAAACGGTGCGGTCACACCGGCCCTGCATAGTTGCTGTAAGACGCGCGCGCCATACAACCGCCATATTCTTCTCCGATCCGGCCCACTGCAGAAGAGCATCATATGGAGGGTATTCATATGTAAACAAGAACCAGGTTCCTTTAAATACCGATGGCGCTGGCGATGTTGATGTTGGGGATGTTGGATGAGGTTGAATCAGAATCAGAAGACGAATCAGAAGACGAAACCGAAGAGGCGGTTTCGCTTACCGAAGGAGCGATTTCGGTAAGAATTATTGGCGCGTTCAGAAACCAATCCAAAATTTGACCCGTAACTCCGGCGTGGAGATACCCTACTAAATCATACCCAAAATTAAGTAAATGTTCATTAATTGTCCAAATAAAGATCATGAATTAAAAGTCGTTATGGGTATTACCTGTTTCGTGTCAATTTTCTTGTTATTTTTGGAGTATATTCTTCGGATAAACGTTGATATTAGTATACACTTTTTCACGGAAAGCCGCCGCACAATTACAATTAGATCTAAGTGCATACCGAATATGGTGGGTTGCGCGAGCGCGCCTAGCCTGTGACTGTGTAAAATTATCTAGACTTCTAGGCCTGGCCTAGACCGAATTTTCCGTCTCTTTCGTTCGTTAGCCTCTTATTGGGGTAGGGTCGGAATTCGGTCTAGAGTCTAGGCCTAGCCTACCGTAATGTCTCAGATCCTCACTAGGACTAGGCCTACGGTAGATAACTTCAAACAGGCGCGCGCCCGCCCGCCCGGCCCGCAACCAAAGACGTTTAAATATAGAATAGGGTCTAATCTATTCTCTAGATCTAGAAATCTAGTCTAAAGGCAAAAGCCAGGCCCAAAGGCAAGGTGGGTCATGTAGGGTCTAGACCTGGGCCCTATTTAAAGTCATCTTTGTGACGTCATTTGTCATCGAAAAAAGGCTTTGTTAAAAAGTCCCTGGGCCTGGGCCTGAATTAGATCTAGGTCAAAGTAGATCTAGGCTAGTTTAATGGTATATAGATCTAGTCTAGATCTAGATCGATAGGATATAGGCCTAGACTGGCCTACCCGCTAGCCTGTGCCTAGATCTCGTCAGGCGGGTATACTGGTAGCTAGTATAGATTTTAAATGATCTAGACCTAATCTATGATACACAAATGGGCCTAAATCTAGGCCTAGTGGGTCTAGTAGTAGTAAAATTCACGGGCTCGGTCGGTAGCCTGGGGCTGGGCCAGTCCGGGAAGGATGATTTCTAATTCATGATTGATTGATTGCTATGCCTTGCTTGTCAATCTCCCTGCCCATATATGGCCATGATGGCTGGCGGATTTTACTTTTGTTTTAGACAGGGCTGTCAACTTTGGGGAACTGCTTCCAGGGAGATCTAATGCAATTTTTTGTTTTGATCAAACAGAGAAGGGGGGGGGGGGGGGGACGGGGGGTGTTGAGTATGAAAAAAAAATTTGAAGTGCTCATGTAATGTACACTTGAAATTACCGTTTTAAATCAACTGTCTGGACACATGCACAATGTCTGCGTATTATTTCTTGTCTAAGATTTTACCATAAATAGTAATTATTTACAATTACATGCATATAATCTTTCTTTTTCATGCAGGCCATTTATCGAGGTGAAAGTCCAAAATTTCCAAAGTTACAGTTTTTGGTAAGTAGGTTCTACCACTATACCAGGGAGTCTCCGGGTTCTACAGTCTACAGAGGACATGTCTGTAAATGACTAGACTATGTAGGACTTGACCAAAAAATTTGGTTGCCCCGCTTTGGCATACAAAGTTGTTGGCGTCTCTTTTGGTGTCCCTTATTTTCAGGCCTGATAATTACCCAATTTAAATTGGTTTCCCGATTATTTTATTTTTCTTTCTTCTTCATGATTTTACACCAATTTCCAGATTTCCCCCCTATTTTCCAGATTTTCCTTGTTTTTTCCTAATTTTCTTACTCAAAATGGGGGGGGGGGGGGGGGGGGGGGGTGGAAGTTGTAAGATGCCATTTTTTCTTTTCCTGAATCCTTTTTAGGATTTTTTTTTTTTTTCTTCCCTTTTTTTCAGTGCTCACTATCCGGCACCCCTGTATTTTACAGATTTTAGCCTGACGCTGGGTCTACTCTAAGATTAGGTTTAACGTAATTAACTTTAGACCTCAGACCAACTTTCTTTATTAAACCTTGATTTGAATAAAAGCTTAAACCCAGCGTCGGGTTAAAATTTAAGTGGGTTCAAGTATGGGCACACTGCCCCACCAGAGATGCCAACTAGTACGGATTTCCCGTAATTTCTACGGGAAATCGGCCGATTACGGGCGGTACGATTTTCATACCATAAATTCCGGATTTTGCAGATTTTGCCGATTTTCAAAATTAGCACTTTAAGGTTTAGCACGTTTAAGGTTTAGCACGTACTTTTGACTATTGCAGCGCAGCCATCCTTGAATCCATGCATAGAAATCCCACAGGGCTTCCGATTGGACAATTTGTTATCTAGCACACCCCTTTCAGTGCATACATGTGCATACAACATGTGCTTCGCGAGCGGGGGCCGGGTGAAATACCTCTCTTGGCCGCGCCGCTACCGCCCGCCCATATGCCCAGCGCCAGGCCTCGCTACGCTAGCGCCGTGTACACTGTCGGATTTCTCACAGGCTGTCACAGCGTTCGTCGATTTTCGTCGACAATCTGAACTCATGTTGGTTGGATTTAGATATCAATCATCATGTCTTCCACAACTAAGAAGCGTGGCAAGAAGTTACAGACTTTTAAAGAAGAATACAGTAAGAAATGGAAATGCATCGTGTAACACCAACTAATGAACAGGTAGACTATGTTACTTTTATTTAACTTGTTGTGCTATCGCGCTTGCCTGCGGGAGCTGCGCTTGCCAGCGTGCAGAAAAATTTGCGTCGCGCAGAAAATTACGGATTTTGTCTCCAAATTACGGATTTTTAGCCTTATGATTACGGATTTGTGCTCTGAAAGGTTGGCATCCCTGCCCCACATTCCATAAAAATGAACAGTGCATTTTTTTCGTGAATATAATCATCATTGTTTTCAACGGTATCATATGTCCCTTCTCTAGATACATTTGTAAGTAATTTTGGTTAAAAAAAGTGTTCTCCTTTTTATACATTAAATGCCTGCCCCTTCAAACTACCATGACATATTCTACTAAACTGCTAAAAGAGGTCTTCCAACCTGTCATCCTTTAAACTGTTTTTCACCCCATATGTAAGTTTCTTTGGTATCAATTACCTTGGTGTCCTAGTGACACTTTATTACTATAATTTATTGGAAAATTAACAATAGATGCCACTCCTGGGTTAGCATTGAAGTTAAATTTCCCAAGCAGTGACGGTGTTTGTTCGATGAATCTGTGTGGTCCCAGAACAGATTATACATTTTCAAACTCTGTTTGAATTGTTCTGCTGTTAGTGATGATCTCAGATGTGGAGAAAGCCTAACTGTTCCTGAGTTTGAAAGCGCAATATTATGTTTTTTGTCTGTTTTATGCACTGTACAGAGGACGACTACTATTAATGGCAAATCTTTGAATCGCTGGGATGTGATGCTATCAGATGGACAGCATATCTGTGTAGGTAATGGCTCTTCCTCATCATTTAATTGCATCAACATTTTTATTGATGAAGAGATGTGGCAAGTAAGAATTTAGATCTTCCTTTCATTCATATATTTCAACAGAATAGTGAAATTGAATAATCATTTTGAAAAGAAACTTGGGATATATTCACAAGTTTGCTCAAAATACTAACAATTATAAGCTGTTGTGAAGTTTTAGCCTCCTTAAAGGGAATTTTATATATCATATAAGTGAAAAAGAAATATATGTTCTAGGCCACAAATGGAGCCACAAATTTAAATGCATGTAGGTGTGTTGTAAACTCTAAAACTAATGAAATATATTATGTGCAAGCAAAGCTTTGTAAAATTGTCTATAGGGTTGTGATGGAATGGTAGGCTTCAGTTTACAACTTCTTCTTTTTTTCTTTTTTTTTTCTTACTTGAGTTCAATCATGGAAATCGGGGATGGAATCTTTTCATAATAGTTTGTAACACATTCTTCAAGTTGGACATAAATTTCTATTTCATCATCAATGCTGTAATATGTCTGGACCAAAAAAGCTTGTAGCAAACAAAAAGTACAATGTGGTTGTGGAAAAACAAATTAAAATGCTATAGTTGTCTGGCAAGCTAATATAATATGATTGTTTATATATATTGCATGTTGTTTCCATAGCAATGCTGGCAAAGAATCTCAAGTGGAAGTTGACATCGGGACAGCTGGATGAGAAAGCGATAATTAGACTAGATAATTACACCCTCACACGTAATAGGTATGTACAGTGGTGGAGAAGGAGAGATAATGAGGGTGTGGTGTGATGGATAGAGGGGAGATGGAGAGAGAGGAGAGAAAAGCAAGAAAGAGAAGAGGGGAAAAAGGGAGAGTAGAGAGAGAGAGAGTTGGGGGAGGGGGGGGGGTCAGGAATTGGAGAGAGAGAGAAGGGTAGCTATAGTTAGTAGAGTTAAGAGCAAATATATTCAAACGTAGCACTGACCAATGGACATTGCCCGGTTGACTTAGTTGTCAAGTGTATATGTTTACATACTTTAACAATTAACAGGCTAGTACTCCCCAACATTTACATCAATTAACTCTGATATTCCTTGTGAATGAAATGCTTTTTATCTCGTTTCAGGAAATACTTTGAAGTGCAAGACCTGTGCATCTTAAGGAAAGGAAAAGATATTGGTGTGAGCATAGGTAAACCCATCTTCATTTATCATAGACTATCACCACATGCAAGACCATCTGGGGTATCAGGCCTATCCAATGCAGCAGGACCATCTAGGGCATCTGGAGCTACAGGACTATCTAGGGCAGCAGAACCATCCGGGATAGCAGGACCATCTGGGGATTCAGGAACATCCAATGCAGCAGGACCATCTTTCACCATGGGACAATCTAAGGCATCAGTACCATCTGGAGCTTCAGGACCATCTAGGGCAGCACAACCATCTGGAGCTGCAGGACCATCCAGGGCAGCAGAACCATCCAATGCAGCAGGTCCAACTGGGGACACTGGACCATCTAGGGCATCAGTACCATCTGGAGCTGCAGGATCATCTAGGGCGTCAGTACCATCTGGAGCTGCAGGACCATCTAGGGCATCAGTACCATCTGGAGCTGCAGGACCATCTAGGGCAGCACAACCATCCAGAATAGCAGGACCTTCTGCGGCTGCAGGAACATCAAATGCAGCAGGACCATCTGGGGCCATGGGACCATCTAGGGCATCAGTACCATCTGGAGCTGCAGGACCATCCAGGGCAGCAGAACCATCTGGAATAGCAGGACCATCCAATGCACCAGGACCATCTACAGACACAGCATCATCTTCAATTTTAGAAACATTTGGGGATGCAGCACTGTCTCAAGGTATCATTAATATCACTTTTTTGTTTGTTCTCAGTACTAGCTGGCACTATAATAATCAATTACCCGTGGGCATTATGGCGCAACCTTAAAATATAACGTTTACTAGTCTTGCATTGCATTGTGAATTAAATTCCCGGCCCCCCCCCCCCCCACTCAGTGTTATTTAGGGTACGCGTATGCTTGTTCCCTCTTTTTTAAAAGACCCCCTATCTGAGCACTGCAAACATTTCCGAACCCCCTTTCGTGGGCTTTTCACTGGCTTTTCCTGCCTTGGAGACCCCCTAAATCTGGAACACTGCTCAATGTACCCCCTATCTCAGGACATGCAGACACCCCCCCCCCCTCTCATCTCAGATAAGCTGTCATTACTGGTTGGCACTTCTTCAAGTTTTTCTTCTTGATCATTTTGAAGCACAATTTTTATGCCTCCGTTACGAAGTAGCCGGAGGCATTATGTTTTCGGGTTGTCCATACGTCTGTACGTACGTCCTGTTTTCGTGATCGCGTTATCTGAAGAACAGATAAATGGATTCCTGCCAAACTTTGGTCATGTATGTATCTTGCGGAGCCGATGAACTGATTAGATTTTGGGGGTCACAAGGTCAAAGGTCAAAGGTCACAGGGCTCATTATGTATGCAAAAACAGCTTGTGATCGCGTTATCTGAAGAACCGATGAATGGATTCCTGCCAAACTTTGGTCATGTATGTATCTTACAGAGTCGATGAACTGATTAGATTTTGGGGTCACGAGGTCAAAGGTCAAAGGTCACATTATGTATGCAAAAACAGCTTGTGATTGCGTTATCTCAAGAACCGATTGATGGATTCCTGCCAAACTTAGGTCATGTATGTTACTTGCAGAGCTGATGAACTGATAAGATTTTGAGGTCACGAGGTCAAAGGTCACAGCGCACATTATGTATGCAAAAACAGCTCGTGATCGCGTTATCTCAAGAACCGATCGATGGATTCCTGCCAAACTTAGGTCATGTATGTTACTTGCAGAGCTGATGAACTGATTAGATTTTGGGGTTATGAGGTAAAGGTCAAGGTCATGCGGCTCATTATGTATGCAAAAATAGCTTGTGATCGTATTATCATTAGAACAGATTGATGGATTCCTGCCAAACTTAGATCATTTATGAATCTTGCAGAGCCAATGAACTGAGTAGATTCTTGTAAAATTGCTCTATGAAGGAGGCATCATTTTCGACTGCGCGCAGTCGAATTCCATCTAGTTTATAAGGGCTTCAATATTACACCATATAGACAATGATAACATGTAGGGCCTTGCATCTCAGATTTAACATTGTTAAACGATCCCTTTAATACACAGCCAGGATAGTATTATGCAGGTGTGTGTGAATTAGGGTAGCCTACACTACACTAGGTCTAGATCCAAGTCCCACATTATCATTTTCATGGGTGTAGGAAAATGAGTTTGAAAGTGTTACTATATTGCGATCAAACTATAGGGCAAACTACTCACCTGAATGTGCCACCCTGTGAGCCACAGGTAGACAGCCACAATATCCACAACGAGGAGACTGTGGATCCTGCTCAAAGACGTCGCAATCATGACAATTTTGGCAGGGCCCACGCCTCATACCCCATCTTGATGCCCCAGCTTGATGCCGATCGAGCCTAGCCCGATATGCATGCTGAGCGTGCAGCTAGCGGATGCGCCATACAGACTATACGTTCTGTTGTTATCTCTCTCTCTCTCTCTCTCACACACACAGATTTTGAGAAGTCCGTACTGCCCATAGAGCTATATACTACTAATATCTCTACGGTACATGCCGCCGTACTGGGACGGGAGTGCATGGGAATCAATGATTTTACTTTTCATAATGAAATAATCCTGAATAAGCTTTCAAAACTAGCAGGAATTTCTGAAATCTGATCGCGGGATTTCATCAATTTTTCTATATTCAACTTCAAGATATTTTATAACCCCCTTTTTTAATTACAAAGAGATGAGAGAAAAACACCCCCTTTTTAGAGAAATCTCCGGGTGAAAGTCAAGTACACCCCCTTTTTTTACATTTCTCGGGCCGGACTTTGTCGCACGAAAAGTACCCCTTTACCGGACATTTTGGCAACACCCATGCGGTCATTTCGAAACCTGAGTGGGGGGGCCGGGATTAAATTGTACTGATATTAGGAATTTTTGAGCCATCTGTACTTCTTGAAATACTTTCTATGTATCGAAATCTAATGGTTGTTTGTTTTGTGTGTTCTTTTTTTTTTGGGGGGGGGGGGGAATACAGAATGACTGAACTGACCTTGATCTTTGTAAAATCTTGTCAGTGGTTATCTTCATAACAGTAACTGTGTAGGTGGATGGACACCCTGAAAATGTACTGACTGTTGACCTTCAGCACCTGAAATTGCTCTTCCATGTAATTTTCTAACATCATAATGATAGTTGAAGGAGGCCATATTTGTGTTGTCAGTTTTGAAAACACTTGCAGTGACGTATTCTAAATTGATTTGAGTTGAACTGAACTGAATTGAATCAAACTGATTTGATCTGAATCTGAATCGAATTGTATTTCCAAATAGATCATTGTTCTGACAATGAAACATTACGCATTTGGTTACAGAAAGAGAAAACATAATCTTTCCCAGTTCTCAAACATTTGGTATTAATTAGTATCATATAAAAGAATATTAACCATCAGTGGTCAATAGATACACACATTGGAGATTTACCATCAGTATTAATATCAGTGCATACTGACTCTACCAAGATGCCGGCCCAAAAAGGTCCACAATCAACTCTTGAACATATATTGGATTAAAACCAATCCCTCCCTGAAGGCAGCGTAAAACGCCATGGCCTAGTGGATAAACTATCAGAGCTTCATTTTAATAACTTTTTAGAAAAATTACTTCATATTGCCTTTATGGAAAGAATGAAAATGCCCAGCTTTTAGATAAAATGATGATTGGGGTTTCCTCAGAGAGTGCATAATGCAGGCAACACTTGCATAATCTGTACAAAGTGTAAAGAATGGCATATAACGTGATCTGTTTTCTATACATTTGAAGATAACTTAAGATTTTTAAAATATTTGTTTTCCTTTCCCCAATTTAGAATTAACAAGCTCAGGTTCTGCATTGTCTGACGAGGGAGACCAGTGCCCCGAAGGTTTGCAGTGCCCCCTGTGTCTTGATGCCTTCAAGAACCCCACCCTCCTGGCTTGTGGGCATACCTTCTGCAAGGCCTGTCTCCAGGAATATGATAAACAGCACACAGGTCGAGATTACATGGAGTGCCCTGTCTGCAGGAAGCGCACCAAGCTGGCACACGATAGGGTCTCTGGGTTTCCATCAAACTTCTCAGTCAAGGTCCTGAAAGATGAATTATGCAAGAAAGAAGAGGGAAGCTCTGCAGATTTCTGTCCATTGCACAGTCAACTTTTCAGGGACATTTTGTGTGAAGATTGTGCAGAGTTCATCTGTCTGACTTGCTTCATTGATAAACACCAAGGTCACAAGATTAAGAAGAAGGAACAGCTTAATGCACAATTGAAAAAGAAAAGGGATTCTCTCCTTCGGAAAAGCAAGGAGAAAAAAGCAAGAATTGACAAATCCATAACCAGTGCTGAGCAGCATAAGCTAGACACGTATGCTCACTTTGAGAGTTTAAAGAAGAAAGTAAAAGTAAGCTTGGCAAAAAAGGCAAGGATTCTTCGTGAGAATGGGAAGAGATTACAGCATAGGTTATATGATATGCAGGTTTACCATGACGAGATGCTACAAACTTGCATCGCTGACCAGAGGCAGTCAGTAGATACCATAAATAAATGCCTCGGGGTACTGGCCAGCAACACAAGCAGATGTTCAAACATGGATTCACTCAATGCACATCATTTGCAATTAAGCGATGTTAAGAATTCATTGACGGCGATCACTGATGAGGTTTCAATGGCAGATGTCAAACAAACGGCAGAAATGACGCAGTTCTTTCCAGCCGATGACAATGTTCTTGAAGTTGGTCATATTCAGCTTGGAGAGAATGGTCCACCTAGTAAGGATGAAGAAGTGAAAACTGTTGCTGAGGGGAGTATAAATGAAGAAGATCTGCAAGCCACTACTAAGGTACTAGGCACTCCAGCGCGAGTAAGAAGCACGTTAAGCCTTGTGAGAAAAATTGATTTGCCACATATGATGTCTGGAATGGCAGCACTGTGGCAGAATGCTGTGGTGATAGGTTATGGATCTCATAGTCAAGGTTCTGATTGCTTCTTTGTGTCGGGTGGAAAGAGACCTTATATGAGGACCATTGGTGCAGTGCATGATCTTGCAATCCTTACCGATCGCAGTACAGTTGTATCACAGGATGGGAAAATATTCCATCAGCTTGACCCGCAAGATACAAATAGGAAAATAGGTATACAGTACGCATGCAAGAGAGATAATGGGTTTTTCACCTTGTGCAGTGACCAGAAGGACAACATCTATGCTATTAATGGCCATCCAGAGATCTACGTGTTCAAGAGTAGGAACCCTGATCCTGTGAGAGTGATCCCTGGTAAGACCAACGCCATGCACATCTGCGTCTTGAAGACTGGCGTCATGATCACTAGCACCTGTGCCGTCAAACCCAGCACAGTCACCATGTACGATGAGGAAGGTCATGTAGGTGACTCTATCACAGGCAGTGATGAGGGTGAATACTTGTATGCTGTGGTAGACAGCCTGGACAGAGTGCTGGTAGCAAGGGTTGAATGCAACTCTGACATGCTTTCATTGACAAGGTACATCATTCAGGACAGCAAGCTTATCGTTCAGACGTGGTTCAAACTACTCAAAATTCCTCATCTGAATAGTCTCCATCAAGGTAATTGGTGTTACATGGTCAGTCTAACACCCAACATGCTTGCCTTTGCCCATGCTACTCACTTATATTTCATCAAGCTGGCTGCGTAGCTCCATCTCTGATCCGTCTGCCAACCTTAAAGGCCACCTCAAACCTGATCTGACAACAGTTGGATCTCGAGTTCTGTAAAGATTCTTGACAGAAATTGAAGTAGAAGATTTGAACATTTTAGCTATCTTGATTTTCACCTGATGGAGGCGCTGATGGTTCAATCAATATCAATATTGCAGGATATTACCGCATCAACTGTGCATTATCAAGACATCACATCAGTCCAATGAGTGTCTAACCGTCTTCAAATTGGTTTGATATCTTCCTGGAAGGTGTTAAATGCCATGCAATTGCAGTTGTACTATTTTAAGACCATTACACATTTAACTTGGAAGAATATTGCACTTGGTAAATCATACTTTAATGCATTTTCTTCCAAAATCTATTGGCAGTGTCGTACTGTTTCAGGTCTCGATCACATTTTGGCTGGACCCGTTTAAGTAGAGCTGTAGCTAGATCTATTTATTTGCTTCTTCCACTGTTGCCAATGCTACCTCAATTGTCCATACCAGCTCTTAACACAGCTTGTTTGGTTAAGCTGACATTTTCTATGTATTTATAGTATTATAGGTTGTTAAAAGAATTGTTTGTGTCTTCATTTCTTGCCAAGATTAACCTCTGTGTATTAACACAACATATGTTTGCCAAAATAAGTAAAGTTATTGCAACCTTATCAATTACTTATTGTACTTTTGTTCATCAATTCCTTGCCAATATTTCCACTTTCAAAGTTATTCAGGTGTTTCTCTTATTAGGTGTTCATGATTACTTTCATTCAACGTATTTGTTGGCTTTGTAAATTTAAACTTAGTAAGCAAGAATTGTAGCCTACTTGTAGTTTTATGGAACCATAGTTTTACTAGCAATTTACTGCTGTTTCATGGTCTCCAATTACCAATTGAATAAGTTTACCTTGTAAATATGTTTAGTATTTCAATCTTTCATTCATTTGTATGGTAGATAATCATTACAATAAAAAATATGTCTTGTCTACCCAGGGTACCCCATCACTATTTATGTTGTTCACCCCGAGGGACCAGTTATCATATTACCCTGTTTACCATATCTTTACCACATCTTTACCATATCATAGCATTACCCCGATATGAACTGCACCTCCAATTGATTATTAAAGCTCATTTACATCATTGTTGTGATGGTGCCTCCAGCTCTTAACCTCTTACATAAGTCACTATTTAACTTTCTTTTTTAAAGGGATCCAAATTGTGTTTGGAAAGAAATTTAATATCGCATTACTTTTTCAAACTCTATTGGATACTCTGTAGTTTGATGAAGTCTACGATGTTGGTGTTTGTAACCTCAAATTAGTGTTGAAAATCATCATCGTTTCCCTTTTGAATATTGAATGTTCATTTGTTTTTTTCTTGAAATTGTCAGCAAGAGACTTCCCCCCCCCCCCCCCCCCATCCATTAATAACTACTAGGTAATAATTAAGGAAGGCCTACACTAAGACCTGTTGCACACGAGAGGTCATTTTGATTGCGTTATATTCTATGCTACATGAGCCTGTTGAGGCAGTGATTGGCCAAGCTGTGGGCCAGTTATCAATATCATCGGTTAGCACTGTTTATTATAACAGCAACACCTCTTTATGCGGCGATGCAACTCACATGGTGCGTCAGTCATAGACCACACACGTTACTGACGCCGTCCTAAATGTGCGTCAAACAAAATGATGTCTCGTGTGCAGCAGGTTTTATACTGCATTATAGAAGGGGATATATGTTCTATAGTCGACCCGTGAATCACATACATGTATACTTTCATATTAAACTAGCAACTACTTTTGAAAAATAAACCTATGGAAATGTGCGAACATAGCAATGACCTATTACTTTAATAATCCAAACATGGTTTATGTGGGGCCTACAATAGCGCATTGAAATTGCACTGTAGACAATTTTTCGAAAAAAAGTTGTGACCGTGTTTAATTAGTTCTAATGAATATTTGAATCTTGACAATGCTGACAAACATAATTGTTAAGAAATGCAAAGCATTGTACTGAATTTGCCAGATGTGACAAAAGATGAACGTTTTGAATAAAATATGTATCATTTAGACCCTTAAGTATCGTATCGTCGGGCATCGACCATTTTAAGCAATTTGGAGACCATTCTTGTTCTATCGTTTGGAATTTCAAAACAATAAACAGTGAGCACTATGTTTTGTGTTACATTGATGTTTCAATACTTGTCTCATGTGCATGTACTTTTAGGACTGAGTTTGTGTTGTTGTTAAGGGTGCTGGGGGGGGGGGGGGGGGGAGATAACAGGAAAAATAAATAGTCAGGGAAACAAAATCCGGCAAGGGAACTTTTTCATTTTTTTTTAATACTAGGGCGGGCCACAATTCAGAAAATGTCTGACAGCTAAATACTGACAAACTTTTGATTAAAGATCAATTATTTTGTCATTCTCTATCTTATGTTCCCCAAACTATCACTTTATTAAGATATGTGTCTCTCTGAATACACTGAAATGTTTAACAGTTTATTCAAATCAACTTGATGGCTGATGGTAATGCCTGTAAACAAAGCTTATATTAAGAGCAAACACGTCAACGTTATTGTTCTGTTATTCTTCCTCTATATTTGCGGCTAAATTCGACCCAACAATTCCAATTAGGTATCTCTGTAATATATCAATACTCCAAATTCTCAGTTTGATTAAATTTCCTTCTGTATCTTGCAGGTCGTCCACAAGATTTGCGGAGGCGCTATATGATAGCTGCAAACCGTTCCTATTTGGGGGCCTTTAAAGGGAACCAAAACCTTCATACTAAGTTACTTTTATTGTAAAGGAATAAGGAAGTTGGAGCTTTTTTAAATGACTAGTCACTAGAGGGCGGTATTCAATTTGATGAAATCTGTGGACAACTCTCCATGCCTTTTGTACAAAAAAAATTCACAATTTGTTCGTTTTCTTCATATTTATTTGTGTTCTTGATCCGACTTCATAACATGTGAAGTAGAATATCATTTTGCATTCTATATCTTGCTTTCAGGGGAGTAGATTATCTCAATCACAGGAAAGAAGGAAAAACATGAAATTTGATGTACAAAAGGCATGGAGAGTTGTCCACAGATGATGTCATCAAATTGAATACCGCCCTCTAGTGACTAGTCATTTCAAAAAGCTCTAACAACTAGGCGTTGTGGCGTGCGCCTGTAATCCAGCTAACAGTGGAAGTTACAAACTGATTCAGCCGAGGACGCAGGTTCGAAACTGAGTCACGTCTTTCGGATGGTGACGTTAAAGGTCGGTCCCCAGACGTAAATAATCATATCTGATTGATACACGTCTGTAAAAAACCAAATACACACACACACACACTCTAACTAGGCGTTGTGGCGTGCGCCTGTGGCGTGCGCCTGTAATCCAGCTAACAGTGGAAGTTACAAACTGATTCAGCCGAGGACGCAGGTTCGAAACTGAGTCACGTCTTTCGGATGGTGACGTTAAAGGTCGGTCCCCAGACGTAAATAATCATATCTGATTGATACACGTCTGTAAAAAACCAAATACACACACACACACACACTCTAACTAGGCGTTGTGGCGTGCGCCTGTAATCCAGCTAACAGTGGAAGTTACAAACTGATTCAGCCGAGGACGCAGGTTCGAAACTGAGTCACGTCTTTCGGATGGTGACGTTAAAGGTCGGTCCCCAGACGTAAATAATCATATCTGATTGATACACGTCTGTAAAAAACCAAATACACACACACACACACACTCTAACTAGGCGTTGTGGCGTGCGCCTGTAATCCAGCTAAAAAGTGGAAGTTACAAACTGATTCAGCCGAGGACGCAGGTTCGAAACTGAGTCACGTCTTTCGGACGGTGACGTTTAAAGGTCGGTCCCAGACGTAAATAATCATATCTGATTGATACACGTCTGTAAAAACCCAATATACACACACACACACACACTCTAACTTCCTTAAATTCCTTGCCCGATTTTGTTCAATTTTTCACTGATATTTTTCAAATATCTTAAACTTTACAATAAAAGTAACTTAGTATGAAGGTTTTGGTTCCCTTTAAGCTATTGTTAATATTGTTTAATAACGATAAGCGCGTTCGTAAATAGCTCTGGACCGCATGACCCCAAAATATCCACAGATCTTTTACACGATGGATACATCCCACATGTGCATTTTAGAATAATCACTGCCGAAGTGATGGAGGTGCTTCATGAATACCTTTTGTTTGCCTCTTGAGAAGAATGCTTCCACCTGTGTATCAGATAAATGTACTTTTGGTGCATAACTGAATACTGATTACACGATCCGAGTATTCGTCTCAATGGTTTTACAATTTGGGTACGAATGACCTTGATCTGCCCATGAACAAATCCTCGTTACGAACTCGCTTATTAACTAGCGCTTTCCTTTTTCTGATAATTGACAAAATGACTAGCTTTTATTCGATTTCAGAATCTTGTAAAGCACTTTAATATTTTGTGTAACAAAATGTAAGATCATTTGTACACTTCATCTCTCTCTCTCTCTCTCTCTCTCTCTCTTTGTGTCTGTCTCTCCCCCACTTCACTCCCTTCTCTCTGTCCCAGGACTCTCTCCCTCACACTCACACCCTTACAAACAAACTGCAGAGTATAGACATCAAGATACACATAATTTCATTTCTGTTGGTTGTTAAATATTTTATTGGAACGTTATGTAGCTATGTTCACATTCTCAATCATCATGTTTGCATGAGGCCTACTTTGCGCGATAAACATAATCATCAACGGTTTCAGATATTCAACACACATTGTCACAGGTTTTGAAAGCGAGAGAAGACAATTTTTTTTAATATGAAAGTTAAAACACTATTCTTGCAGAAATAAAGGCACTCCGAAATGTATTTGATTAGATCAAGGTTGTATAGTACTTGATGACGTCATCTCGGTTGTCATGACATCATCTTTTATCGGAGACTGTTTACGTCACTGTTTGATTAAGCATTATAATTTATGATTTAGTGATCGATCTACTAATTAGAATTACGTCAGCAGTTGTGGACATTATTGTCCTAAGTTTTGTCAAACATTATTTTTTCAGGAAAGTTCATAAATTATAGTTGAGTTTCCGTCACTTAAAAATTATAGACCAGGCCTATTAAAAGCCATGCAAACTTAATCAAAATAGATTTCGATTTATCTGCGCAAAACATCAATAACATATTCAACCGAAAATTACAGAAATATTCGTTCATTAATATGAGAAAACGAGTGTCTTCTCACCATAAAACATCTACTTCTAAAGTACCTGTTGGTGCCATGAGCCATCTGCAGTAATCACACATGTAAACATTCTAACAGATACAGAAAACAATGCGCCATGTGATATTAAGCTGAAATAATATCAGTATCATATTCATTTTAAAACTATTTTTCTCTACTATCTTGAGAACTATTAGATGTTGTCCTGATCCGGATTAATATCAAACCTTGTGTAGTTTGTCAAAATGTTAAATTCGATACCGATTTTGGAATCTGCCTGCATTTAACATGCATTCTTACAGTGAAGCAGTGAAGGGAAGGCCTTCAAACCAAGGTCTTATAGTTGTGATATAGAAATCAAACCTAATAAATAAATTGACGAGATCCATTAAATGATTGTACATCTCAATTAAAAACAATATATATAGATAGAAATGATTATTATATACACATCATGCCACTAAAATAAAAAACGCTGATAACCTATACCATCGACATAGTGCCTTTTATCTTTCTTTGCATGGAAGACCATTTCTAACCGCATGAACTGAAGCGTTCTACCGTACAATAACCAGAGACACTATACACAGGATAACATTAGATTTGGTCGAAAGCCATAGATGCCAAAATAAATCAATTATTGCACATTATTACATACTTTTTGCACACAGTCTCCCCGTGAATCTCCCCCATGAGGACTTATACGAGAAAGCAGGAAAGAAGCAGAACCAATCTTGCATGAGTTCTAGAAGAATACAAAAATAAAGTTTTAATAGACTTGGGACTGAAGAAAGACGGGGCTGATACTTAAAGTATTCCTAAAGCGAACGGCAGACAAAAGCCATGATTGCAGACAGCAGGAGAAATAGATTTACAGAGATGAGATTTGCAGAATTATTTGCGCTGTAGCCCATTCCGGCTCGACTGGGGAAGCCACTCCTAATTACTTGTCGGTCAAAGAGCGGCTGTACCGGTCGGAAGTTGTCCTCGATGTGGAGCATCTCCAGTTGGCCGTTGGGTTCCATGAAGAATCCCTGGTAAAGCTCACGGAACATGTCAAGCTGAGGAAGAAGAAATAAAAAAAGAAATGAGATAAGGTGTAAATGTGGTGTAAACGTGGTAACAAATCTATTTACACTCGCCTTCAAGTTGTTTTCAACGCAAGCAGACTATAAAAGACCCCCCCCCCCCACTCAGTGTTATGTAGGGTACGCGTATGCATGTTCCCTCATTTTGAAAACACCCCCTAACTAAACCCCCTAAAGTCAAGACGGGCCGATTTTTAGTTCATTACGAGCCGGACTTCTTTGTTGCGTGAAAAGTATCCCTTTACCGGAGATTTTGGGAACATGAATGCCGTCCCTCCGATCCCTGAGGGGGGGGGGGGGGGGGGTAAAGACTGATAACTACGTTTCACTATGCACCCCGCCCAGATTCTGACTACATTGCTCGTTTTAGTGCAAATGCATATTCACTTCTATTAATGGGTGCGACCAGTTGATAGACTAACAAATCATATGGTCTGTATACATGTTCTTTATTTTCAATAGCCCAACTTGAAGACAAAAACAAAATCATCTAATTATTCGCGTATTCCACTCGGCTGGCAGGTTCGTTGTGCGCGGTCATTCCTCTGATATTTTTCTTAAAGGGATCGTTTAACAATGTTAAATCTGATATACACGGCCCTACGTGTTATTAGTGTCTGTGATATGGTGTAATATTGAAGCCCTAAAAAAATTGCGCTTCAAAATGATCAAGAAGTGCCTTAAAAAAGTAAAAATCATTGAGTGACCGTTCCCATACTCGTTTTCCCCAATAGACTGTAGTGTTATGAAAACCGTCAGGCGAACGGTTTTCAAAATTTATAATTCCAATCATAAATATCTTGATAATCAGACAGGCGATCGGCTTGTAAAAGTCATGGGGTTCCTGACTGACCTAAAGGTTTATAATTATCATTGCATCATGAGCTAAATCCAGAATTTTGTTTCAGAATCTGAGACAAAGTTACCGGATCCCTTTAACGAAATTATTTATATATATATTTTTTTTTTTTTTTTTTTTTTTACCCAGGTTAGCCACATCAGCCCTGCATTTATTATCACCCCGGTTTTGCCAGGTACCAAGTAACACCTAGGTAGACTAATGTGGCAAAACAACTTGTCTATGAATGCAAACACCAAGCGAGGCTCGAACGCGGAACCTCTTGTATGAAAGTTTTAGAGAATTCACAAATTTTTACCACAGTGCCTCCATTATTGGAAATTATGCCAAATGGGAAGACCAACAACAACAAAAAGTATATTTATCTTACCTGGTTATGTGAAAGATGGATAACACCGCAACCGACAGACCAAGTGACACTCTCCCAGCATTTGGGTACTGTCAGGGAACCGTTGTACCTGTAGAAACAGCTCAGGTCAGTTGGCAACATATCACGGAGGGGAAGATGTGCGTAGTATTCTACCTTGGTGTCTGTGATCAAAGGGGTGGGGGTAACAGAGTAATAGAGCGACGTGTTTATTGGTTTAAAAAAAAGATGCACACCACAGTTAATATGTTATCGGCTAATAATGTACGATACGTGCTCCTGCGACAATAATTGCTCCGCGGTAATTTCATTCACTAACCGAATCCTTAACTTCAACCCTGGACCCAACACTGTACCTAACCCAAAACCTAAACCTAACCCAAGTCACGCTTGCAGCCCTCGTCCTAACCCTATACTTTTGACGAAATAAGGTCCGGAGTAATTGTCGCAGGAGCCAATGTCGGATCACCAGGGGGGCGTTTCATGAAACAATTAGTCGGTGGTTATCACCGACTAATATCATGTTCACCTACAATTTAGTCAGCGCTGACTAAACTTGACTAATCACAGGCCTGAAAAATAGGCAGTGACAAAAGAATTGTCGGTGAACATGATATTAGTCGGTGAAAACCACCGACTAATTGTTTCATGACACGCCCCCTGATTGTCATGACTGCGGCTACCATGCATACAGTCAACGTCTCTAAGGAACTGTTAGTACTGTCTAGATCTTTGATTCTTAATCTTGTTGGTTTTTCTTGCGGCATTTTTTTTAATGCAGTTCTTGTTCAATACCGCTACTCTTTGTAATGCAACTTTGAAATTAATTCAAAGACAAATTATGTTATGCGTCAACATTTGCAAAACAGATTACTCCTGATCCATCCGGAACTTACGGAGAGAGACTTGAAAAGTGTTTTGGAATTGGGACCTAACGATGATGACTTTTCTCTTAGGGGCTTTTTTTAAATTTCATTATTTGTGGAGGATGCGCGCATTAACATGATATACGTATACCTGTCGTTCGTAAAAGTAAAGTACAATCTTGGTGATAGATAAAAAGTCGTTCTTCAAATGATGTATTTTGCATTTTAATAATTCATTATCCTCATAAAATCCACCGAAACAACCCCATGAGCCCACCATCACACCGAGGCCGACAACCACTGGTGTTTAGTTTCCTTCGTCATCTTTGGCTACCATTTTCCCTGGTGTAATGGGGCTAATAAATCGAGGTCTTATGAGATCATAATGAGTCATAAAGGGATTATTTATGCTTAGCGAGGAGTTCTCTGTAAAGTAAGACATATTCATACTGTACAACAAAAGAAAACATTTTCAGTCAAAACCGAAAATACACAGTTCAAATGCAATATAAATGAAATCTATTCTATTACATTCACAAATGCACTTCTAAGGGGTGGTTAAGAAGCAAAGGAAAACTATCAAAGGAAAGTCTTTGGGTTGCTAGAAGGATAAATTACAATATTTAGAGGTAATAGGAATAGTCAGCACGTGAGAGGAGGTGGGTTCTAACTAAAGATAGGATCATTCATTATGTACAGAAAACTATATTATGCCATTGGTTATTTTGGAAAAGGATATAGGAGGGGGAGGCGTATAAGATGAACAAGTATTAATTTTACATCACGGTATTCTACTTATGCAATGAAACGGTATTTAGACACATAGCATTTGCTATCAAAATTGATTTAAGCCTGATATAATACTAAATGATCATGCCATTCAAAGTTAGATGATTAAAAGTATGTTAAAAGCAACATCCATTGCGTTATCGATTTAGTGAAGCAGTGTAAGATATTCAATTAGTGCATTTGTGAGTACATGTATAAGCTCCGATATTGACACGCACGTATAATATAGATACAGATAAAATGATTCATTATGCAAAATGAATCATATTTAATGGATCAAGATAAGTCCACAATCTTTATGCGTAAGAACATAGAAAAAAATTCAGAGCGGAATATGAGACGGAAATTGAAATTCTGAGCTGAGAGAATTGGAGGACATTGCAGACGTCCTGTCTAACTGAACGCGAATCTTAAGACCATCGATTAAACACCCTACGATCTTACTACGATCTTACTACGATCCGATGTTGGAAGAATTTGCAAAAGCATTTCATATGAATGAACATTCAAACTCTTAAATTCTTAATGATCGATGATTAAAAAAATTGTATGATTAATAAGATTAGAACTTAAATGAATTTCACCTTCCCTCGGAGGAAGAATAGCTAAATCGGTTCAGAATCGTAGTTACGTCGTACCAGTAGTGTAAAAGTATACGATTTTAAGCCGATTCGGCTTTTATTCTGACTTTATTCGAATTATCCCGGTTGTAAGCATTTGTATCAATATTTAGAAGCTAGGCAGCAGGAAGATGTTTGTTTATATATCTATATCTAATATAATTGCCATTTTTCAAGAAATCGTGTAGTGTAGTGTGTGACGGTCTTTAAAAACCAACCCCGGGTGGGGGCGTTCTATGATTTTCCGCAGATGGTATTGTGCAGTGGCGTATCCAAACCTTAATCAAGGAGGGGAAAAACAATTGACCTTAAATTGGTCCCTAGAGTTCACCAACAAAACTGCCTTTTGAGGGGCCCTAGTTTTAAAAAAAAAGAGCAATCTTACATCGAACACTGTCGCTACTGCTTTCGAAATATCAACCAAAAGCAATTTAACTGGCATTGCACGTCATCTTTTGAAATATGCGAACATTTACGGTGATATATTACGTAATCCTAACTTGACTTCTATAGGACATAGAATACACTATTGATATTGCCCTTGAGTTGATTTTTGAAAGGTACAGTAGTTGCAATCATGTTAGTGATTGACTTGCACATTGAGAAGTGATTTCCTAACCTGCTATAGGCCTAGTACATAAATATGTGATTGCGTTTGTTTTTTTCGTGGTTATGAATCTTTAAAGAGGGGGCAAAATGCCCACTCGCCCATACGATAGTCGAGTATTTGTGCATGAATTTATGAAGAAGCGAGAAGCTGGAGGTCTGCAGACTGCTTCATGCAACCATGAGGGAGGACTGCCTGAGAAGCAAATGACAGGATCATTTGGATACACGGAGGGGTTGCCATGGCAATAAAATCCATCGCAATACTCACCTTTGAACTTAACATTTTCTGTGATATCAAGAAGAGGATCAAAGGCAGGATTTTCATAACTACCACTGTCCTGTAATTAATAAACAAAGAGGTAAAGTGTAAAATTCTTGTACATTCGTATAAAATGGGATATGGTATGATAACTTACCTTTCCTTCGCACGCCTGCCGTGTAATCTAATATAGCATCGTATGCGGGGTTATCAATATCTGAAGCCTAAATGAATGAAATATGAAGAATGGAAAAGCATGATGGCGCAAATGTTTTAATTTTTTAAAGAGAATATCAAACGATGACACTATACTAACAACTTTCACTGCTGCTGCTCCTCCTTCTCCTCCTCCAACTACTATTACTGCTACTATTACTACTACTACTGCTACTTCTACTACCACAACGACCATCATCACCACCATCAACGGTCACACCAACGAGTTCAACAGCAGACCGATCAAAAATTTTATTACCCCTAATGGCCACAAATGATTCGTTACTTTTCCATACTCATTAATGAAATAAATGTAAAGCTTTGTGAAAATATGAAATGATCATAAGCAATTTTTCACTTGTAAACTTTTCATGCGTAATATGAAGAATTCAACGATGTTTCAACGATTATCCGATTAAACCGTAAAACTTTAAGAACCATAACGATGACATACCTGGATGAAGAACCCGAGAACAGCTAAACCATCGGGTTGTTTGACTGCTTCTGCAATGGTCCTGTATTTAGCGTTGTAGTGAACAAGATGAAGCTTTGATGGAGATGATGGGGGAAAGGAGAAGAACATATTTTATTAAATGGAAGATCACTAATTCAATTTCCAATGTTACTTAAGTCACCAACATTGCGTGTGAGGGTGTAACTTTTTGTAATGGTACAACGTGTGAGCGGGTTAGGGGGTTGGTGGGGAGGGGGGGGGGGGGGTAGAAAGGTACGTTAACCATGATCGCAAGACTTTTTCGAGAAATTTACTCAGGGACAACTTCAAAACCTTACTTCACATCTCATAGAAATCATGTTGGTATTACGTTATACGTCATTATGCGGTGCTCATATTTCAGTAGTTGATGTACAGGGCTATTGAAATTACCACAGGGGAATTTTTGGAAAGTCTTTACGACCGCGTAGGCCTGAATCATCATAGTCATCATCAGCATCATTATTACCTCAGCAGAGAAGGGTCTTCCATCGATGGTATGTTCTGAACCTCTTTCCGGTGTGGTTCCCCAGTGAAAATGAAGTTGAGCTGGCTTGGCATCAAAAGGCAGTCCACCTCCTTTCAGCACGTACATGCCTTCCGTACTGACTTTAACTAAATCAATGAAAACAAAAGTTTTATCTTAGATTTACATTTAAGAACTCACAACTCCCTTTAACATCATGTTTTACTCTATTATCACATTGAAGCGTACAATGTACGTCCCTTTTCCAGATTTGTTTCGCCTCTAACGCCCTGTCTGTAGTTTATCCTTTTGAAAAAGATTAGTTAGCAATGTATCTTATTCACTGAATTGTTATTATTGCATAAAATTGGAACTGGATGAGCAAATATTGAAATCTCTTGTGAATAGTTCCATTTGTTAACTCATTAATATTTTAATGTAAACCATTCATATTTGTTAAATTCAAAACGAGCAATTAATTTCAACTAATTACATTTTTCGATTCTTAAAAAGTGAGATCAAACATGAACGATTGTTGTAGTGTTTTTCAATACAAGCTAAGAAAATACTTACGTGTATGACCGTCGTTTGAAACCTCTACTTTTGTCGTTGGAGCTGAGTTGTAACCGTGCAGAGCCCTAGGAGCGTATGCATTCTGATTGTTGTCTGTTGTGAACATTCTTTCGGGTCCGTTCATGCCAAAAGGTTGGTATGGATTTACTGTTGGTTTGGGTCCCATCTGAAGGTTGCCGAAAGGATTACTCCATTGCGGATGTTGGTTTCCAACGGCGTTTTGTCCACCTCCGTTGTTGCCTCCCCATCCGTTGCCGTTCCACCAACTGTTCCAGTTCCAACCACCACCGCCGCCGACACCACCGACGCCGCCTCCACCTCCGCCTGCGCCTGCGCCACCCCAGTTGAATCCACTGCCACCTTGTCCACCTTGTCCACCACCCTGTCCAGCTTGGTTTCCCCCAGCGCCAACCTGTGTACCGTAGGTTGTTTGAAGACCTTCGAAGACGAATTCACCCAGGTCAGCCTGGATGACAGAACGGGATTCGATATTGATGGGCGACTGTTTCCTACCGCCGCAATGTGATCCAGGGATGGTCGGCCAGTTTTCCGGTCCTGAAACATAATTATTGTGGTAAAGATAGAAAATAGATAGAACTTAAAATAATATTTCTGGTCAGGAAAGATGAAATAATTCATCTGGATTAAAAGCATTAACCAAACACAAAACAGGGACACTAGATATTGCCTTCTACTTTCGCGCCAGTGATCTCTAGGCAAGTGGCAGCTATATGAAAGTGTGTGTAGGAATCATTCGGCTCGACAAAGTCTACAGCAGTTGGCGAAAGCTCTCCTATTACTATCAAGGTTGGTAAAAGCTTAAACTTCATGTTATGAATAGAATATACCTCACATAAGGACTATGAATCGAAGTTTAATTTATATTCATCAGGTTATGCAAAACAAAGACACATTGATATCCAACTGTTCATGATAATTTATATAGGCCAAATATATAATTGATCGGACAGAAACAAGAGAAGACATTACTTACCCAATGGTCCGTGCTGGTGATAATGCCAGTTTGCACCTGTCAATCAAAGAGAGAGAAAATGAATGATATTAATCATGATGCCTATATTCATCAGTAAGTATTGAAGTGATTATCAGAGTAAGATATTAAACTACCACTCAGACTATCTTCAGAAGATATTGTTTATATTTTTATTTTTATAAATGCAACTAATGCAAGTACATGTATAACAATTATATAATCTATACATTTCCTGAGGTTTCAAATATCAGGCCCTTAAACATGTGATATTCGATTAGATTTCCTTTGGCACCTCTGTAAAATACAGTTTAACATTTTTCATACTTATCGTCCTAAATAACTCAAACACGACAAAGGGTTGGTTTCGATTCATTTTAAATTAGTGTAAGATAAGGTGTTGTGATGTTATTTTCTATCGGAATTTTCTCGCTGCCTAAGTTACTGATTCAGAAATGAAAATCTATAAAAAGATGTCTTTATAATTTCACAGCTTTAATCTGTTCCTAAGTATCTTGGCTTTGATATGATTGATATAATCGTCGTAAATTAACTCGGAGGACTAGCTTGCATTTATTTTTATATATTAAGCCACCATGGTGATTTATAACGTCAGAGAGGAACACCAGACAGAGTGCGCTTTTTCATCTAGGAAACGGCAAGGAAAAAATAAATGATCGTAGCAAACAGGTGTCAGGAGTGTGATTAGTAGATGATGAAATCTAGTCAGCAATGATACCGAAACCACAAAGTTATTATAAAACTGGTTAAAATCTATTGATAGAAAAGCTGATAGTTAGGATATGATTGATACTTGGCTCTCGGTTATAAACGATTTTGACGTGAAGTTGGCTTCGACCTTTAGAAAGGGGCTCCGATTATCACACTATGTTATACTCCTTGTAAAAAGTTTCATTTTTAAATAATGAGGAAAATTATCACGATTTGAAGAAAAAAAAAAAACGTGTTTTTTCCTCATGCTGTTTAGAGGAATTTCAGATTTAAAAGATGAGGATGTTGACTCATACTACATTTAAACGCTTGGGACATTTTAGAATTCTTGCAGAACGAGACTGTATTTTTGAAACCTTGGCAACAGGGTTTAGTGATGACTGGTTCTCGAAATAATAATACTTCTATGACGTTTTTTCTTCCTTCCCTCTCTTTCACAATTAACGTTATACAAAGCATATATCTACATCCCAATGTTTTGGAATTTCTGAGTGATAAAATAGTCATGTCAATATAAAAATCTGCGACAAGATGACATGTTCCAACATAAACTGTTACCTCAGTCACATCGACAAAGCCGACACTAGACCGAACAAAACCTAACATTACACCAACTGGCCAAAAAACATATCGATGTGGATTTGGTTTGACAGTGTGGCTGAGGTATAAGGGATTCACTTCCTCAAGTAAGGCTCAAGACTGGAGAAGAGGATATAGAGGGGGCCCAGAAATCAGCACTCATGCAGAATCTCAAATTGATCGTGATATTTCACCAGGAGTTACGGTTGTTTCAATCCCAGGAAAATGGACCAAGCCTAGTGACTCATCCCGGCTACTCATGAGACCTTTGATTGACCGGTCTAACCTATTCAACCTTCTATCATTACTACTGTATCTCTCTCTACCTATCTAATTACTCAAAAGAAACGGTAAGATTGAAGATACAGAATGACGTCAATAAACTCTCTAGACATTTCTGCGGACCTGACTGCGGACCTGATACCATCACACACCTTTCCTTTGTGACCGACAAAAGTCGTACTCCTTATCCTCTTGTTGTTCTTCTTCTGTATAGTTTGATTAGGTTGGCGTCTGTTAAGTGCTTGCTACGTGACAGGAATACTCCTTGGGTCTTAACATTCTTGATTTGACAACTATTACAAGCATTTTTAAAAGATTATTCAATAGGTTGCTTGGCGTAGACTGTCCCATTCTAATCTTAAGGATATTTTGGAGCAATCAATTTGCTATTTTCAAAAAGAAATGCGACTTCTCTCAGTCCTAATCACTTATCATAGGGGAAAACATACTATAAGCGGGAACTTGGCCTCCATGTACGAAGAACGGTTGCCTAAAGTGACATAAGTCACATTTACAGTTATTTCTAGAATAATCGCATCTTTCATAACTTCAGGGAATCCATCAATTTGCAACACTAATGACCTAACTACTCAACAATCATAAAGTTCTGAACAAACATAAAGTCTTGAACATTTTCAAGGGATTTCACCTCGAAAGTTTTTCACTATATCCCTTATAAAACAAAAAACGGGGTGAGATTATCAGCAGGGACAGCTGAAGGTGGGTTAGTCAACGACATGACAGATGTGAGCAAGCCTGAAGTCGTGACTTGGTTAGAGACTGTTAAGACAGGGTAGTGGGTAATAGCAAAGATCCGTCATCGGTCATTACGGGGATTAATTTGGAGGGAAGAGGATACCTCGGCTTGCAAGAACGAAAGGTTAAACTACACTTTCGAGGGTGGGTATGGGGTCCAGGAGGTAGTGTGACTAATAATTATCGACACTTTTCAAGGGAACATGTTTTCGTGTGACACTGTCCTGTACCTGTTTTGTCAAACTGTGACAAATTTTGGTCTGTACAAATTTCATTCTCTACACCTTTATAGAGTAGAAGATATGTAAAGGAAAATGATTCAGACCTCGTCCCTTCCGAATTTTGATGGTAGGAAGTATTCTAGGCTAAATACATTAACGATACGGAGCAATGGATAGGAGATCTGATTTCTCATTTGTTCATAATATAAAACTCTTTTTCAGTGAATGATAGCTGGAGGCAACCAAAAAAAGAGAGTCACAGCATGGAGTAGATCCATGGTTACAGCATCTATTTGAAACAAGTTCGCTTTCCATTGCTATAACGAGAGAATAATGCTTGGTGATATCACATTTAAAGTAGTCACCCAAAGAAAATTCATAACTGTTACTTATGGACAAATTATATATGGATGGAAAGATTTTCTTTTGATAAATACGACTAATTTGCTGAAAAATCATATAGATATCATGAAAAGGCTTAAAATGCTTTGTGGCTAGCTGTGTCTCGCATGGACGTCACGAATCTTGACACTCTACGGAGGACCGCTGAAGGCAGATAACTCAAAATTAACATTTTTGAGAGATGATTACTGCGGGGCCCCAAGCATATTTTGAAGAGGGGAGTTGTTATACTGGATCAGTAAGATTTCCCCTTCGCAATGATATGAATTTTGCATCTATTCAAAACACTTTTGGTTCTTCTACTTTAACCCCACCCCAGAGACGCATGCACCATTTCCATTTTGTGGCCTCCACATCCCTTTCCCATCCTTAACCAATCATGATGTTCAATTAAGAGGACACAAAATCATATTTAATATCTGCACCATCATGCACAGAACGCTTGGTGACCCATGTGTATACCTCAGGAAATTGGCGTACTGCATATTCTGGACTTCCTTCCCATTGACTCTACAGACGCCACACACGCTATCAAGAAACGATTCATGATAGTCCATGACACCTTAAACAGCCGTGACCGTTCAGCTGGTGAAGGGAATTCATGGCATGTGTGACTGTTTAGAAGCCCTCCACTTGATTTAGCATAAAAATAACTATCATGCGGTCAGTCACAAAGGTCTTATTCCTTTATTAACGTTGAAGATGGGGTGTAAGATTGCACCCCAGGGTGCTCCCAAGGTACTATAGAGGAACCCGCAAGTACCCATATGCGGGACATGAGAAACTGCTACTTTGACCCACCCTCACTCGACCTATTCGGGTGACTTTGCCTCACGTGCCTCAAAACGCAGGATCATATGCCCTCGAAACTTATTCCACATATATCACTTTTCAACTATTTTTAGGTTTTGTTGTTGGCCAGCTAAAATAAGCGTCTCCGATCTTTACACGCGACGGTAAACGTGATGATGATATCATTTACATCATTAAACACTTATTTAGAGAATGATTTATAGGAACATTCTCCACGCTTAAACTTGGGGTCAAAGTAAAATTATAATTTGATATTTAGTTAACATTACAAAAAATGCTAAAGGCTGAGAACCCTTTTGGAGATTTTTGTATTGAAGCACTCTATTTTTTTTTTTGACCGATCCAAGGCTTTAATTTCATTTCAGAGGGGAGCTATTACAAAGAATCGTTGAGACCAAGTAGGCCTCTTCGACTTCGGAAGTAAGCTATAGAGTATGGAAAGCAAAGGGGTTGCCTTATTATAATGCATTAATGACTTTGAAGTTGATGCATGGAAGGTTAGTCCTATTGCAGTTATACCCTTCACAAATCAAGTGGAGGATACTTAATCGTTTGGTAAGCTTGTAGGTTAGTTTCCGTCCTAGACACACCTTGTCTGTAAAGGTTTGATCCTTAAACATCACTTACTTCCTGTCTCAGTTCATTCGCAACAAAATAAATTGTAACTATTACAAAACGTTTAAAATTGAATTCAACAGGTGTTTTAAGAAGAGAGGGTTGTGCAGGATGGATCTCTGTAATAAAGGGATTACCCGAAGATTACAGACGGTGTGATTATAGAAAATGATTATGTGTGCTAATTAAATTGATAAATTGTAAAAGGATCCCTGAATGGCCCTCGTTGGGATGGTCATAACAGATCTACTTTGTCTGCATCTGTGATTAATGGTTCCTATTCCCATGAAGCCAGTGACTGATCAGTTTTGAGCTTTTACTAAGTTTATCCACTAAGTTAGGGATCGTCATTTAGCTCCTTTAGTATCAAAGTATAACAAAATATGTGTCACACTGTACGAAAATAATTTCCCGCTTATTTCTTTATACCACTAAGTGATAATTAATCTGAAACTGTGAGTAATCTGCCCCACGCAGATTTAATTTGGTCCTCTGTTGATATCACATGATTCTATTAGATCATCTAATCTGTCTATTTTTAATAACAATCAAGGAAATGCAATTAATGATATTGCCATTAGAACTAATCGATTTTACTCACTAAATATAAATAAATGTTATCATTTGTGTACGGAAATAGTTGACTGTGGATACTGTTTGTGTTAAATCTCAGCGGTTTGAAAGCAAAAGGACATGAACCCCCAAAGCCCGTACATGTGTTTAGTCATCTAGATTTAAATATCCCTGTAATGTGACGTTTGCCATGAACATTCAGTCAGGTTTATTAGACATTGATATAAATTCAGCTGCGAACACATATCCAAACTACTTCCACAACAAAATTACAGATTCTTTGTAAGTCAAAAACATGCTTTGGCGGGAAACCTTTCCTATAAACCGGGTGATGTCGTCGGCAGACGATCCTAATCGTAACGTGGTACATGAGTTTAGTTTGAAAGAGGGATGATCGCGCCTCACAGCAGACGAGTTGATTACATAGAGGGGTGTGGCCTAAAGCCCTTGTTAAGAGAGGGGACTAAGAGGGGAGACACATACAGACAAATTGACGCGCTCTTTTCACTCCGATTGATTTTCATGAAGTAATCAACAAAAAAAATGAATGCAACAATCTCAAAGAGACTTTTCAACTGATGCAAAGATCACTAAAATGTCGATTCTCTTACAACGCATTATGAATATATATATATATACATTGTTTTACAATTATGTCGTTATATAGGCATAGGGATGATAGGGGCTAAAACAGCCTAGGCATTTATCAACTAGTGTAAAAAGTGGTTTATAGTTGGCTTAATTCCCATCGTAAAACTTGGCATTTAGAAATGTAAGATAATTATAACCACACGTCTATTGTTTTATAAGTCGCCGTTGAGCCATTGTCTTTTGTACTCAGAAAGAATCGAGTTTTAAAAAATAGGGGTTTTATCTTTAACGGAAAGGTATAATAATTGAACTATATAAACAATAGATGATTATGGTCAATAAATGAAATGTGGATAATAGATTAAAAGCATATATTTCTTTCCACTAAAACAACACTGTTAGGAATGGTAAATATATGCATTAATGTCCAAGATGCATAGGAGCCCGTATAATATGACATATTTAAATAAAGGGAGGGGTGTAAAGGCATTTACCCCTTTTATATGAAAAGAACCGAAATCCAACATTTTGGATAACATATCACTGTAAAAACACCTCAAACTGTTCCCCTAAATGCATGCAGGTGTTGATGATACTATGACATAGACTGTTAGACAGTTTTCGGGTCGAACAAATAGGCTACCTTTTGAGGTGCAGAAACAGTGTCCTAGGCTGTTGCTCTTAAAACAATGGCTTATACTTGCATAACTATTTATAAGATTGTGACACGCCAAGATATTGTCGCAAACTCGTCATATCATTATACTTTGGATTTTTATATATAACAGACTGCCCGAATCAGCCTTAAAATTGTCACCTTGACCCTGTTGGCAGGCCGGGAAGAGAAGCACAAAGATGTTGGTTTCAATTTTTTTTTATCAAAAAGGGAATTTAAATTGTATCGATTTGAATTATAAAATTCTCTTTGCTATACATATCAGAAAGCGTCTAAACAATGAATACTTTTATAACATAAATTCTTCACACAGAGTTTTTCGATCGATTATTCTGAATTCAGTTTCACTTATTGTTGCTGTTACAGTCAAGTAAAGTACAACATAACCCCCTGCATTCGTCTGTCTGTATAATTCTAACGATCCATGTAAATTTGTTGCACTTTTCTAGAATAGACTAAAACGATGTCCTTTGAATGAGACGATTCCATACCTCGACTAGCATGATGTCACTTTATCAAACGCCCATTTAATGTCATCACTCAGCAGATAGCCCAAACTCCATGGTCACTTAATTCCTGAAATCCTTCGATGCGCTAAAACTCTTAAAGTAGAACCATCTTTGACAAAGTTAGGAGCTATATTTAGTTGTTTTTCTCTTCTCTTGGGAGTCTAGAATCTGATGGAAAAGTCGACCTTGCGAACACATCCTTACAAGCACGGACAGGCGTTTCCTTAACAGCAAAGTGGCACCGGCTTGATATCAAACAGTATGACCGTGTTTCTTGTAATAAACCCCCCCCCCCCCCTTCACATAATCACAGCTCATATTTGCTTATAAAAATACATGCGAATTATGCTCGATCAAAGCTGAGGGTTATAATTCAATCGCATAAAACCATGCATCGTGTAAAAGTCAACGTTTTGGAGGAGCATTCCTTTGGCGTACTACAAATTCTTCTTTTCACTTTTCTTATATAACTATTCTCTGTACTCATATTTTAACTGCTCATTTAAATCAATTATAATGTTTAGGTCTTTCCAATAACTGACTAACAAAAAAGGCTCAAGACCGGCAGGCGATCAATTTAGTCTAAATTATATATATAATTTATTTATGATACTTTCATGACCATGTTATATCAACATAAATTATGTCACAGATATTCAATGGATGTCCATATTCAAACTCTTCAGGGTTTTCCACTCGATTCGCCACAGTAAAACTTAGGAGGCTTAATCATTGAAAGGAGGTAACAACTGAGTCAGCGGTCCATTATTTCCTGCCAATCAACGGTGAGATGCTTGAAACAATGCAAATTCATAATTGAAAGGAAGGTCACTTTAAGAAGGTGCTTCATTAAGAGTTCCGCTGGAGAGTCGAATCATTATTGACACACCACAGGCTTCCCTACACTGGATTCACGACCCTTTAATACAACAGCCCTGGAAACTGTTGTCTACATGGCAATGTATAATGAAGAGAGCTAGGAAGCAGTTTCTGTCATTTTATTTTTAGAAATATTTGTATATGTCTCATGACTTGACTTGATCAGTATTTACTCGTAAAGTAAAACAAAGTAGGACTTTTGTGAGGATTTCTCTTCATTAAATTCAATGTAATTCAAGTCCAAATAGTGTTCCAGTATCGTACACGCTAATAATTTTAAGCATTCAATACGTTAACAGTCTTGCATTAAAACAAGACATGTTTTTAGATCCGCCTTCTTTGAGTTACATCATTTGTCATTTGATTGCGAATTTAAAGCTTATAAATTGATGCAATGGAATGATAAATAAATCAGGGTAGTGATATCAAACTAACGAACATGTGGTTCAGCTGTGATATTCTAAGAATGTACTGGAATTCATCAAGTGTCGTTTTAGGCAGATTTCTTTTACAATTTGAATGACAAATATGCACCTCTTTCTGCGCTACCGATAGAAAAGAATCAAATAACCACATGTAGAAGTAGGAAGATATCAGGTTAACATTATAATTGACGTTCATTAGAGGAGACGGCCAAGGCCTGAAATGGATCCGACGAAATTGTAAACCAGGTTCTTGAGACTGGCGGACTTAACCTTCGGAGAAATCCAGAACAGGACAAAAGAGACACAGAGTTCGGGTTTCCCCCTACTAATCATTACCGGATACTGATGATTTTCAGGGGATGTCTTTAAGTTGTTCGATGTTTAGGTTTGCTGCGCAGTAAGGTGTTTGGAGAGTTCTAGCTTGGTTACACAACAGTCCGACCATCCTTTGCTCAAGTAGACGCATTTTCAAATGAATGAGTTGAACAAATATTTCATGCAAAACTTAAGAATGTCAACGCATTGAACATCCAAAGTGAACATCACGAAACTAAGCAAAAGACCGTTTGCAATGAATGTTCAGCAAAACAATTAATATTTGCATGATATACAAGTAAAATGACAGGAAATGAAGTTAAATTGTTCAACAAGAAGGAGACAGAGATCAAGTAAGCGTAAAAGATGGAAACTGTAAATTAAATGAGAATAATTATCCTTGCCATGCTTAAACTCACCTAAACATTCTTGGTACAACAACGTCAAAGTTGCTAAGCTTAGTAAAATATATGCATTCATGTTGATCAGTTGCTTTGGGGGCGATCCAGCGCTCGACCTTCAGATATATTCTCACAAAATACAAAAGATGAAAATTGAGTAGAAAAATAAGATGAATTCAATCCTTCACGAATGAACCAGCACTCTGAAGAATGAAAACAAAATGATTTAGCTCATGAAGAGCACAGCGGTGAACTTTACTGACTCCTTCTCTCTCCTCAAATAATGGAAGTCGCTTCCACAAGGACCGTCGACACTCTTCTGAGCGTTAGGGTCCGTCGTATTTCCAATGGATGGTACCAAGAGGAATACAGGTTTTGGGCCTGAGAGTGAAACGACCGAGCTAAACAACGTAATACAGACGACCCGAAACGCGCGGCTTTATATTCTTTCGATCGACCGCCGACACTGCGCCAGGCCGCTGCGCACAAGCTGTGCGCTGATTGGCTGAAAGCTGTGGGCTGGGTGTTTTACTAACGACTCTTTACTCCCCTGTGTGAGTCCCCCTCCAAACCCATGGCCGCATGGCGAGGATATCGCATGCAGGTCGTCTGTATGACGAACTACCCTTACGCTCATCACAATTTTTCTTTTTCTCCCCTTTCAGAATCAACATGCTCAACCGCGGAACGGAAAAGAAGATTTCAGAGACTATATTTAGAGGCGCAGGTCGGGAGAGCCTAATGAGCCAGATCCACACGAAAGCAACGTTGTTTTTCCAAAGAGAGGCAGAAAAGCCGTCAGATGAATGACAACTTACACGAGCTATTTTCAATAAGTTCATTAAAAGGTGAATAATAGGTACATAATGAACGCAAAATTATTTATTCCACTTCAATATTGCCGATAAGGAGGTCATCCCCATAACAAAGTACAATCGATATAGATTTATTCAAATTTCGTTTTAAAGTGTGGAAAAAATATTTTTCTCATAAAATTACATTCGCATACACTATAACAATTTCCCTGTTGATTAAAGCTAACATTGAGCTCTGGTATTAGCATCGTATGTAGAGAGAACATGGCTATAATTAATTATGGATTGTGTATCCTGCAGTTAATTGATTATTTGAACCAGTAAAATAAAAACAACCTCACAGAAACTTGCTGGAAATCGTCGTCAATAAAAAACACAACTCTCATTTGCACATAGGGACCTGTGTTAAAGCACATGGTGTCGGGTCTATTTTCCTTGATTTCCTTATGTTTCTATGCTCATTACTCAACCCGGGGCTGCTACTATACTTTTTTACCAAAATTGTTTGGCACATGTCATTTATTTTTAATCTCCAACATTTAGTGTAAGTTGTGTTGGATTCTGTAAAAATTTATTTTCTATCAATTACAGAAATCAAATTTATCTTTAAAGATATTCATTTTTCGAAGTTGATATTATTAAATTTGTCATAAAAGTGTCATCCATCATGCTTTTAATATAGTCCTACTTCAGTTACTAGGCTGAATTCTTTCGTCGTGAAAACAGATCATTGTGGTTTCCATGAATGAGGATGAGACATCGAGTAAAAGTTAATCATTTTGACCTTTACTATCAGATGATCTTAACCATAGATAGCTGCTATAAATACTCTCCAATAATTAACATCAATTGTGTCTGCGTAATTTTGATATCCGGAAATAAACCAAGTGAGGCAATTTTTGCAATATGTACTAGAAAATCAAAGACATTCTCTTCTTTGAGAGTCGGAATCGTCTTCGACATATATAAAATAAGTTCATGTTATCGACGATCTCGTAATTATATATTTTTTTTTAAATAAATTACATAAAGTAACATATTTTAGAAATGGAAGTGCTAAAAAAAAGAGAATTTATTTTTAGTTAGATTTTTTTTATAGCATAACGACGCGTAGGAGTATCAATGATGCCACTTAAAAAAAAAATTAAAGGAATATATTAATCTTTAAATCCCTTGGTACGAGTCTTAAAGTATATATTTTTTAAGTTGTGTTATGTTCCATGGTTGCAGATTCGCTTGGTTGGAGAATTTGACTTAATATATATCTGCAAGTGGTAAACAAAATTATTTAAAAAAATGATAACTACAGTTGCCTGCATGCTCGTGGTACCGAATTTCCACTTGCCCGAGAATCTCGGTATAGTCATTCTTTTGGCTAATACACATTCGGGCTCGTGATTTATCCGATAAGTTGTCATCAGTTAGATGAGATGAAATATTTGGTGCGCATTCTACATATTTAATTTAACACGACCCTTAATGTTAAGCACGCTTTAGAGAAGGAAAAATTAGACCTCAGACTTAATTTCATTGTGTAACCCGATTTTAAACAGAAGCCTAAATCCATCGCCGCGTTTTAATTTAGTAGAATACAAGATATGCTGTATTTGGATTCTTCGCTCTTGAAATTGTCGTCCTTCCAGGAAGTATGAAAAACTACTTTACATTGAGATGTCAGGAGTCTTATTAAAGAGAGAGATACAGATCCTTGGAGGAGGCCGTGTTTAGGAAAGCGTTCTTCAGATAACTAACATGAGATGAGCTACAATAGAGGAAAGACAAAAACTCATTCAAATGGCACGATTTACGACAATATACCATTGTTAGCTTATTTTCTTATTACCCAATTTCCAAGGAAATTTCAGTTATTTTCATAGTTATTGTACTTCGTAAAATTGTGGTTGGCTTGACCTAGGAAGACAAGGCTGAAATATTATGTCAAACCGATTCTGCGTATTGTTGTGAGGAATATGATGTTTCTTGAAGACGTCTAGACTATTTCATGAATCTAATGAATAACAAACTTGTACACAACTTTTTTTAAAGTATACCCGTGCAATTTGACATTAATTTGTTTTAAACCAAACAAACGCTAAAAAAAGCCAGTAAAGTGTTGAGGTCTAAATAAAGAAAAATACAACAAAAAAAAAACGTAAAAGCGCTTCTGGAGCTCAGAATTATTTTCGTTTTGTTTTTTATTGTTGCTATGCTATCTTTTATAATGCGTCCAGATTAACTCCGTGTCCATGATTATGCCAATCTCCACCTGAGGCAAGTTGGAAGACAACCGGAAGCTTTATGTCTCTGTTCCTTTACAAAGTTGGATTTCCAATTTGGTTTTTAGACTACAATTTCTTTTTCAAAATTTCTAAAGGATTCTTACCAATGAAAAAAAAGGCAAATAAAATCTATCGATTTGATTTGAAGGGCAATAAGCTATAATATTATTCAAGAAATGAACACATCGTTTCTATTAAACAGACTCATACTGAGTCCTCGTACTTCCATCGTTTTCCCAGTTCCATACCTCTCTTTGTGTAAAATGTGTACTTTCAGCGAGAATACAAACATGTCCTCGAAACTAAACAATGTGTCTGGCTGCACAATAGAATGACTCAGTCTGAAATTAATCATGAAATAAAATTTTTTTAAAATGGTCGGTTAAAAAGCTGCTGTTTTTTAATATTTGTGATCCCTCAATTAGAGTTAAGACAATCTCTATAGTATATTTAGAAAACAAAAATATGGATTTATTTTTACAAGTTTGTAAACAATTTTTTTACAAACAAATCTTACGACATCAGAGACGTCTGGGTCAAATAATGCCTTTTGCACACGTCATTTATTGACGTAGTACTGGGTCAAGGACTGGTGTGGTCTTTTGACGGCTGACCGTGCTTGTTTCGTCAAAGATATAGGGTTAGAGCAAGAGTTGCAACTGGGTTTTATGTTAGGTTTAAGAGTAGGGTAAAGTGGTAGTAATCCTTTAAAGGCCTGAAACTTCGTTAATATTTTCATTTGAAATCTGTTATACAGTTATACTTAAAACTGCTTAAGCATGTTAACGAATTGTCTAGATTTATCGTCCTGTCTGCTCTAATCCTGTAATACGCTTTGTTTGTGTGCAAAGAATGGTACCATCAATTTTCCTGTAGTGTCTGTTCCTTTTCCCATTTTAAAATTGGCAATTTCAATGAGAAGTTGTGCCAACCAAAGTATTTATGGCACTCTTTTTTTTTTCCCTTCTGATTATACATGCTAGAGACATCTCAATTGACATCTTTAAAAAAGAGGCACATTTGATGCTAATTTGCACCCTTATGTTTTATTTAAGTATGTCATCATCACCGTGACCAAGATTCGCCATTGAAAAAACAGGATACCTTGTTAAGTCGATATTATCAAGATTGGGGATGTCTTCAATTAAAAATGTTCTTTGATAAGTCGAAATGGTCTTTGCTTCCTGGGTTTGACTATAGACCTACCACGGTTTGACAGCCAGACATTAAATCTGTTGCGTAACAATCGTGGCTTTAGCCCACCTTTACGACCCACCTTAATAACATGTTTGTACAGAAGATTGGGTTGATCTGATCTTTCAATGATCTTTGTGTCAGGCGCCAGGAAAGATACCTGTCGCAGTGGACGCAAATATCTCTATGTGCAGAGTGACGTGAGTGCGGTTAGAGTGTCGAAAGTCTTTTAATGCCCGTTGCACACGAGGTGTACACGAGGTGTACACGAGATGTCTGACGCAAGAGTCAAGACTGCGTCAATGACCGGTGCAATCTTTCATTGTCATGTGAGAGTGACACAGTAAAAAAGGGTTAATGAAAAGTATAATTGCAAATATCTGTTCAGGAATACATTCACAGTCTGGATTAGTGCAGGCAATAGTAATGACGCCTCATGCGCAACATACAGAAAGTAGACAATATGCGTTCGACGCTTTTGATCACAATAATAATTACACATTAATGAAACCATTATTTATTTTATCATCGCCATCATCACCATCATCATCATCGTCATCATCTCCTCAACGTCCTCTTCAGTCCTATTAATCAGTACCACTACTACTGCTGTTATCACATAATAAAACAAACTTAAAGTTTACTTAACAAGGATCTAGAATGTGAACTAGGGAATAAAAACTATATGAAGAAAAAAAGAAGAAGGAAAATAAACCCTAACATTAGCTTATCAAACATTTGCTGTGTAAGGGGTCAACTTTGACCAAGATAGAACTTGTCAATTTCATATGACGTACATAATGTACATAGCTAAACTTGACACGCGTGAGAAAGTATGTATAGTAGTCACCTCTATGTCCCCATGACAACAGTCTATTGTGTTTGTCTCATTATTAACTTCGGGATCAATTCATCTTAAATCTAGCATGGATAACCGCTCACAGACGTTTGGAAAAAAGACAAAAGGAAGATGTAGATAATCGACTGTATTTATAGGCCTATGGGTCTTATTATACGAGTAAGTGATATTATCATTGATTTCCGGTGGCGCCAAAAATAACAGTTCTGATGAGGGTCGGCCATGGTTTTGTGCGCACATGGAGCCCCATGATATATCAGAGGAACTAGATTGCCTAG